GGATCCCACATGAGGGCCAGTGACACTGCCCTCTACAGCTAAGATGGTGAACAACAGCTCGACCTGGAGCTGGGCTGCTGTGAGTCGCCAGTGACGGTGTGGGCTGCTGTGAGTTGCAGCAACGGTGTAGGTTGCGGTGGGGCTGGCCAGCAGCAGGCGTGAGCTTTCGTGAGCTGTGGTGAGCGGCCGTCCAATGGCCGGCGAGTGACTGCCTCACCAGGAAAGAGTGCAATGATAATACCAACATGGGCCAGTGAAGCGATGTCTTCCACAACTAGACTGAAGAACAAAATGACAGCAACTTGTCTGTTCCCCTTCCCCAATTCCCCAATAAAATCTTTAACAATGAAGACAAGAGCTCTCCGCAGGCTGGTCAGCTGTCTGTTGGCTCCCATTCCTGTCCTGTCCTGCCTCAGAGGGGCCACCCATCATCCCAAACTACATTTCTGGAGTTCATTGCCAACTGGTTCTTGGTTAATTTGGCCCATGGGAGACACTGATGTTAGACGCCAGGCAAAGAAGCTAGGGCTCTTCTCCCCCTCTTGCTTCAGATGCCATCGTGCCAATGCCCACGTCACTCCTTGGTACAAGGTCTTGCCAGGCAGCCCTTTTGTGGTGGTCCCACTTGGGGCTCTGGTAACTACCCCTCCTCCCTAACAGCAGTAGTGGCTTCCTACTGTCACTAATCTTAGGGTTGCCAAACCTTCCTGTTTGCCCTTTCAGCTGGCCCAGTACCTTTGCAACTCACTTCCCATGTCAGATCCCTGCTGGGTGGAGGCCATTTGCCTGACTTGACCACTGATACACTTTTCTTCTAGGCATCATACCCCACATCATCACTGCCCAAATCCTGCTCTCCACACCCCCCAGCCAGAGGACAAAGAGACCACAGACTAACGGCAGGTTAGAGGTTGTTTCTTTATACAAAGGTAATCAACACTATGGACCCACCAGCAAGCTGCCGTTCACACTGGCCCTTCCACCACTCCAGGGGCAGATGTCTGGGAGATGGGGAGGGTCGCTGCAGGGAGAAACACTACACAGGCCTGGGGACTGCCAAGCACACCAGCTGGGAGTTCCCGAGGGGCAGACACACAGAAACCACACAACCAACAGCACTACACAGTGACAGGAAGGAAACGCAGGGTGGGAACTAGCCATTGGCAGCCACTGACAATGCCCTCTTCGCCCAGGTGCTTCTGGGAGGCAGGACAGCAGGTGGGAGGAGCCCTGGGCCTGGAGCCAAGAAGCCCAGCTGTGCCACTACAAAGCTACGGACTTCATGGAATCACAGTCTTGCTTCTGCAGCTATAAACTGGGGACAGTAAACTGTACTTCACAAAGTTGTCATGAGGATGAAACAGGAAGATATATCAAAGTACTCAACACAGAGCCTGGCACATAGAGGTGTTCAATAAATAATTTTTGTCAAGAAAACCTTAGCTCAGAGAGGACCTTCTTCAGAAGGCTGAGACGTGAGATAACTTCCCCAGAAATTCCCCATCAGGGGATCAGGACCCTTGAGCCCTCCTTGGAGCCTGCAGTTGCTGGAGTGGCCATGGCCCCGGAATACACAGTGCCAGGGCAGTTGAGGGGGGCTGGGGGCTGGACCCCCAGGGAGGCCCCCGCAGAAGCCGGGTAGACACTGGAGTTAGGGGTTGTGCCAAAATGGTTTTGCACGTAACACAGGCCAGAGGCAGGCTTGTAGGGAGGCAGGCTGGGCATGTGCCCAGGAGCGCAGGCTGGCCAGGAGCCTATCTTCTGGCCACTGGCATGCTGTATCTGGGAGACAGGGTGGCTTGGGGGCACGTGAGGGTGGCTACTCTGCACAGGGTAGGAGCCAGGCACAGGGTTCAGCCTAGAATGAAACAAGAGAGAAAATGGTCATTCAGCTAGAAAGCCAAGGCACACAGCACCCCCTGTTGGTCCCACATGAGAAAAGCTTTGGTCGCTGTAGTGCTTTATATTACAACATGCTTTGGACAGACATTTGCTGTGACTGGCTCTAAGTACCAAGCAAGGAAAGGTTAATCTCAACTAAACAAAAACCAGATGCCCAGAGAGGAAAGGGCCCACTCAGTCCTGCAGCAAGCCAGCAAGAGAGATACTGGACCCCTGACCCCCTGAGTGTAACCTTCTCATAGCAGCTTGCAAACCGAATGGAGATGGGGACCAGGTCACAGCAGTCAGTGTGTTTGTGGCCAGCTGTGTAATTCTACCCAAAGAGATCCATCCCTGTGAGAGGGAGGGTCGGGGGCTCTAACAAGGTAACATAGGACTTGGGCCTAGGTCTTGTCTGCTGTGACATTTTCTACATATGACTTCAGGAAGGAATACTTACAGCTCAAAGTCCTGGTTGGCAGAAACCGACCTGACAGATGTGGGGAGCTATCTGTGCTGAGGTTAAAGACCCTACCACAGACACATGTGGCTGGGACCACGAATGGCGACACATCCTAAGGGTTTTATCCTCTGAAGTTTCGTGCAAAATTCCAAATATGGAGAATGAATGCCAACATCACCCATGTCTGTCAGGTGACTGAACTGAACACGTATACATTTTGATTAAAACCTGACCTTACAAATCAAATGTACAAATAAGCACAGACACAGGACACTTAACAGCACTTCTAGGGTATTTTAAAAGGTAGGGGTTTGGGCCTACCAGAAGCTCGGCAAGAGTCTCCAGAGACGCAAAGCTGTCCAGACAGCCATGTCAACTGCCCAACAGACATGCACACTGCAGTGCTGCCCGTGTCTCACTGTCAGGCCATCTGAAACACCATTTCTGCTTTGGGTGCCTCCAGCAGGCAGGATTATGAGGGACCCAACACCATGCCGTGGAAGGAACATGGAAGGAACTGAAAGGGTCACCATGTCCCCTACCTGGATCTACATGTCATGGTGAAGCAGGATCACACCTGGCACCAATGAGTCACAGCCACAGAGGCCCCTGCAATTCTGCGTGGAAGGACTTTCTCATTAGGGGCTGCCTTGAGCAGTGAGCTCCCAGCCACCAGGGGGTGTGAGTTAAGGCTGGGGTGACCATGACCATTACCAGCTGTTCTAGAGGGGACTCTTTCACAGGGTGGGAGATTGCACCCGAGGACCCTGTAAGTCCTCTCTAGATTCCGTGAGAACAATTATTAATAGCCAAAAAACCACAGTTCACCTCCTTCTATATCAAACAGCCTCCCACACATTTAGACCCCAAGAACTACTTGCCTAAAGCAAAATGGGTGAGCGTGCATTTGTTTTTCACAGCTACCCCCCACACACACACACACACCCTTTTCCCCCAACACACGTCTTTAAAAAATGGTCAAAGGGCCCTGAGCCAGTGAGGGCTGGCAGCGCCCACCTCCTGAAATAAGAGCAGCTTCCAATTCAACTCCTACCCCACATCCGGGCCAGCTAGGAGGGCAAAGTTTACTCCACAGCTCGAAGATAGAAAAGGGCCACTGACATCCTGACTTCACAGTAAGTCCTTCCTTTGGAGGGACTGCTGAAGGAAAGAAAACCTCCTACAGCGTGAAGTCTCAGTGTGGACAGAAACCCGGGAAGGACAGAGCAGCCGGTGGCGTGGAAAAGGAGTGAGATCTGGAAGCAGAGCTAGAGACCCCAGCTCTAGGCTGGGCCTTCCCGCCTGTGCATCTGGAGACAGACTCTTGTCCTCTTTGGGTCTCCTCTCTAAAATGAATGACACTACATGCGCTCTGACTCACACTTTCCGTTGAGAGGTTAACAAGCCTGGACTAGAAAAGAGTAAACCTCACCTTCTCTTGCTGGGTGGCCAAGGAAACCCTATCTCTGAGGTCTCGGCTATGCCACCTCCTAAGCCACAGGCAGCTGTGTGGACTGTCTGTGCTTCTCACCAGTGCACCACACAAGAGCCCAACCCGACCTGCTGAGCGCTTGTCAGGGTTGGTAATAACACTAGATAAGGCCACTCCCTCCCACAGTCTGCCACAAATCACTCGGGATTATGCACAAGTGCTTCAGATGCCTTCCCTTGCCCACTCCTGCTCGCTTCCTACCTCAGAGATCATTGGGCAAGACCTGCAGTGCTCAGACGACGCCTGGGCATAGGTTTTCTGGGCCCAGGGCTGCCCACGCCTTATTCCTTTGTCGCCAGGACACTGAATCAGTCACACCCTGGAATTGTTTTAATTCGACTTAAGGGTTCTGTAACTTACTTCCGGCTGTGGGCGGCTCGTCTTTCCGCTGAAGAGCCGGAGATGTACTTGAACATTGAAATCTTCCTCATCAGGCTGAAGGGGAACTTCTGGTCGAGCTTCAATGCTACACGCTCTGAGAGGTCGAGGGAATAGCAGTATGTGATGCCATCTGGGGTCAGCATATTAAGTAAAATCGGAGGCAGGTAAAGGGAAGAGTGAACCCCCCCCCCATAGAAGAATACAGGCTCCCACATTTATTCTACATGGGCATTAGTGCTTTTTCTACCATAAACTGACTGGAATTTCAAGGTCAAAGGAAAGCAAGAATTTCTATGCCTTGTACCTCAGAAGGAATGTGGCCCAGCAATAGGGGAGGGCAGATAGGTGCTAACACTTCACCTTCCCCTGTGCCATCCCATCCTATCTCTTGAGCCCCTCTAAGCCCTGCAATCAAGTCATAAGCCAGGACACACCTCCATCCTTGCAGTGGGATGAGGCAGGAGACTGTCCTAATACCCTATAGAGGGGACTGACATCTTCTTGTACTTTTGTCCCAGATAGAAGGCACCTTGCCTCAATA